ATAAAATTTAAAAACGTCACATACGAAACTCAAAACACAATTGGCATAACAAAATTATTTTTAAATTTTTGTGACGTCTTCTTAACTTATTACAACTTTAATATAGGAACCAACATCATTTGACTACAAACATAATATCAACGATTTGTCATCTATTCAGGACTAGTTTTTACCCGCAACTTTGTCCACGTATAATTAAAAAAATCCTGTAGATCTATAATAGTGGTGTTTGGGATAATAAGTGCATTATCGAGAATTATATGGGATAATAAGTGCATTATCGAGCTTTAAACTCAGTTTTATTCCATTATCTCGAAAACTTTTTGCGATGTAGGCAAATGTATATATAAAAAATTAAAGATTTATTAATTTTAGGCAAGGGTCTTGTCGCCTTGATTTTGCATCAAAACTATAAGAGCTACGTGGTAGAGCCATGCTGCAGCTATATTATGGTTGTAGCACGAATGGGTCGGCTCGACCGGGGAAGAACCACGCTCTCACAGAAAACCAGCGTAAAATAGCAGCTTAACGCTGCTGTGTTTCGTATGGTGAGTGTAGAGAACCGGAGACCCTTTTTACTGGCAAAGAGGCATTTCATCTTAGTCCTCACGGGTGACAACGCATCTGCATCTTGAGTCTTTATTGAGGATAGATGTACATGTCTATGGGTCACAGTAACCACTTACCATCAGGTGGACTGTGTGCTCGTTTGTCACCCGATCCTATAAAAAAAAAGCTAACAGATAAATTAAGAAAAATGTTTCGTTCGCAACTTTTTATACATCTCATAGTTTATGAGAATATCATTAACAATCATTAATGAGTTTTTTATTTCATTAAAAAATTATGTACCTAACAATAGCCTAGACCACTTCTGCTACTCCTCTCTATCTGTTATTGAAGTTTCATAACTATCCGTTCAGCATTTCCAAAAATATAGAAAGACATGTCTTAATGCAAATAAACCACTGTGCGCAATAGAAGCCAGTTATTCCACTATTACAGACAGAAGCTTCAGTTTTATTTATATACAAGCGACCCAAGGCCTGGCTTTGCCTGGGTTGGATCTATAAATGTGGCGTTATTTAATATTAAGATAAACAAAGACCAATTCTTCGTATTTTTCAAAAAAACATGAAGATTTTCGAATAAAATGTAGCCTAGTTGACTCTTGGCAATGCTCTCTATCTATTCGTGAAGTTTCCTGCCAGTCCTGCCATTCCGAAGATTAGCTTGTTGCTGTCTGTCTGTCTGTTTGTTCCTAATCTCCGAAACGGCTTGACCAATTTTGACGGGACTCACTGGCAGATAGCTGATGTTATAAGGAGTAACTTAGGATACTTTTATTTTAGAAAAATAATTAAGGTTTCGCGTAAACAAATCAAAACCCATGAAATCGTAGTAAATTCCATGCGGGCGAAGTCGCGGGAAACATCTAGTCCATATAATAAACGAAGAATTCACGAAGATTATTACCTCGGTTTAAACGTTTTTTTTTCACAAAGTACTATAATTTTAAGAAATGCAACAAAAACCAAAATGTTTTACAGAAGTGTAACATACTATGAATGAACGAAAAGTCTAAGCGAAATATATTATGTATTTATTACAATGTATGGTAATAACCCCTGGAAATGAAGTGATCGCTACCAAGTTTTTTCTAAATTGCTTTGTGATTTGTGTTGTTAATTGTGTTAACATACATGATTGTAAGCTTTTTTTTAAGGCCCGCTGGGTTTCTTGCTGGTTTTTCCCAGGACAGAGGTTTTTTCCGAACCAGTGGTAATTAAACAAAAGAGTGACTTTCAATAAGTATTATTTATGATCTATATTGAATAAAAAAGTTTCTGTTTCTATGTAACTATTGTAATAAATTACAGTTAATCTCATCTAGGCCAGGGACTTATAGGTCCCATATTTTATGTGGCACTTATAACAAAAAAAATGTACTCACTGTGTAACTTACTTAGAATGTCGTAAAAGGCGCTTATATTGTGTTTGAGATTTTGGAGGTGATGTGTATGCTAGCCACCTAGCCACCTCTCTTTTCTTCCACATTGTTCTATCTATACCCATATTTTATATGTATTAGTAGCTTCCTGCTCTACCTGTTTTTCAACCGACTTCAAAAAAGGAGGAGGTTCTCAATTCGACTGTATTTTTTATTTCTAACGAGCACGCAGTCTAATCCGCATTTATCCTCAATTGAGAATCAAAACGCTGATGCATTGTTGCTCCTGAGGACTGAGATCAAATGTCCAGTAAAAAGGGTCTCTGCTTCTCTACACTCACCATACCAAACACAGCAGAATAAGCTGCTATTTTACACTGGTGAATACAGAATTGTGTGAGCGTCGGGCCGAGCCATTCGTGCTACAACCTCTTTGGACTCTACCTACCCCTTACCTATCGGGTCACGCTTGCACCCTTGAACGTGCGTGAATTTAGTATGAAGGCCATGATTTTTTTTTATATGATAGGGTGACAAACGAGCACACAGTGCACCTGATGGTAAGTGGTTACTGTGACCCATAGACATCTACATCTATCCTCAATAAAGACTCAAGATGCAGATGCGTTGTCACCCGTGAGGACTAAGATGGAATGCCTCTTTGCCAGTAAAAAGGGTCTCCGGTTCTCTACACTCACCATACGAAACACAGCAGCGTTAAGCTGCTATTTTACGCTGGTTTTCTGTGAGAGCTTGGTCCTTTCCCGGTCGAGCCGACCCATTCGTGCTACAAATATACTACTAATATAGCTGCAGCATGGCTCTACCACGTTGGAAAATGTGATATAAAAAAATTATAAGAATAAATAAATATGTTACCATCATCTATATTATGTATTGTAGCATATTATATTCGGTTGTCTGCATTTGTATGTATTAATTGAGAACAAAGGGCTCGTGTTGGCAGCGCAAGACAATCCATCACCTTATTTAGTCCCGTGAGTGTCTTCGACGGCTACGGAAAACGCCAGAAAAGCTTTATGGTTTTCGATAGATAGCATTATAATCATATCGTTTACGCCAGAAGTTAAAAACCTTGATTGGATTGAACCGATGACAAGTAGTAGCGTCCTAGCTTAGCACCTGGTTTCTGCGATCGTCAATACTCCTGCCAAGTGTGATGACTGAAACAAATCCTTCCAAAACGGGGAAGACCTAAGTCCAGTAGTGGACTTTTAAGGATCGTATCATCATATCGTCCCGTGGGTGTTCTATGAGGCGACAAAGGGAAATGAAATAGGAAGAGGACAGTACCATATTTATGATAACAACCATTATTAAAAAAATTGTTGCAAACCCGCCTGCCCAGCGTGGCAGCTATATATATATATATATATATATATATATATATATATATATATATTTTTTTTTTAAAACGTTACCCCCGCACTAGGATTTTCTCCTGTATCGTGGAGGCAGTTTACAAACACAAATTTCACAAGGACAAACATCCAGACCCGGAACAATCATTTGTAGACCATACAAATACTTGTTCCGTGCGGGATTCGAACCCGCGCCCCCCAGCGCAGCAACTCATTTCTAAGCCACTGCGCCACGGAGCCGTCATATATACTATACCCACTACCTTACTCATTTTTAAAAGGCCGGCAACGCATCTGCAATTCCCCTGGTATTGCAGTTGTTCATGGGCGGCGGTAGTCAGTTACAATCAGGTGAGCCGCATGCTCGTTTGTCTCCTATAAAAAAAAATATAGCCAAATACCCAAGCTTATAACACAATCTATGGGAGAGGTTTACGTTCAGAAGTGGACGTTTATAGACTGTAGTGGTGGAAGAAGAAGAAACAAAAATGATATGTGTATTGTAACATATGATAGTATATTTTTAATTATTCAAATACGTTCAATACTATTAGACGTGTATATAATTTTAAACGTAATAAAAAACGATAAGCTTTATCGAGGCTGAATAGATTCTTGGAATTATTTTACCAGTAGGCTTGATGTTCAGGTTTCTAAAGGAAGTGCAACATAATATTATTTAGCTAGTAACGGATGTTGTCGATTCGGCGCCTTCGTATTCGATTCGCGGAGTTATGGTTAGAGATGTACCCGAGCCTTCTGTTGAAACAACCAAAATGTTATCATATAAACTTGTAAGTTATTATTAAATAGTGACCCACTCTAGATGTGGTGTTATTTAGATATCTTACATAATATTAATCTCACTGCGCTCGCACTCATACATTCTCGCATTCTTTTTTTTATAGGACAGGGTGACAAACGAGCACACAGTTCACCTGATGGTAAGTGGTTGCTGTGGCCCATAGACATCTACATTTATCCTCGTTTGCGAATCAAAATGCAGATGCGTTGTCACCCGTGAGGACTAAGATGGAATGCCTCTTTTCCAGTAAAAAGGGTCTCCGGTTCTCTACACTCACCATACGAAGCACAGCAGCGTTAAGCTGCTATTTTACAATGTTATTCTGTGAGAGCGTGGTCCTTCTCCGGTCGAGCCGAACCATTCTGCTACAACCAGAATATAGCTGCAGTGTGGCTCTATCATGTGAAACTGTTCGACATAGACCTCATAGCGAGGAATAATTGCTATAATCGTTTCTTCAGATGGACGATTGCAATTCTAGAAGATTCACACTTAACGTTAGTTTTTATGTTCAACAGTTATATGTTTTGATTTAGAATATATCAGTGTCAGTCATCTATTCTTATAAAGTCTTTAGATGACACCCATTAAACTAGACTGATTAATCTGTTACATAAAATTATAACATATTCACGGTTTCCAGCTAATGCGATGCTATAACTAATAAGTGTTAACAAACTAATAACTATTAAAGAATTAAATTTGGTAAAAAAATATACCTCGCGTACATCCGCTCGATAAAATATAATTTGTCTTACCCTTGTAAATGTCTACGGGTCACGGCATCCACTTACCATCAGGTGGATTGCGTTTGTCACCCTTTTTCTATATAAAAAAGGTAAACAGGTAAACCATTAACAGGTTAACGAATAGACCCGAAGCAAGAAGTAAGGACTCCATACACACCTTCGTCATCAATCTCATCCTGGTCAGGCCACTGATCGATATGGGGCATGAACACCGCTTCCTTGTAGTTACCATATCCATCGCATTCCACGTCGGAGCCTGTGCGACATTTCTCCCGAGCGCAGTCTGGCGTGTAAATAAAAATAAATAAATAACAAGAGCATGAAGAAAACCTTTCTACAACGCAATACACTAAAAGAAACAATTGACAAAAACAGTTCAGTAATAACCATGTGGTGGCGGTGAAAGTGAATCCGTTTCGTCACCTGAGTGTCGTGAGAGGCGACTTTAAGATATGGTAGAAAAATCTTATAGCTTTCGATAAAGGAGCCGTGGTAGATCGGATTAGGGATGGGCAAGAGAAAATATATATCGATATATATCGAATCAATATTTTTAAATAGTATCGATATATCATCATCATTTACATGATGTAAAGATAATGTCCAAAATTTTATATTACTGCCGGGTGGATGAAGAAAAAAAAACGACAACCAACCACACATGAATACTTTTGTACCTCAAGTTGTTGTTACATGTTTTGTCATTAATACAACATTTTAAAATATATCGAAATTGATACGAATTCGATTCTCTAAAATAAATATCGATATATCGAAATATCGCGATTTTAAATGTCGCCGATATATAATATACCGCCGATATATATATATAGAGATCTCTTCACGGTAAATGTTGATCAGACGCGACTTCACGCGAGCACTTTGTTGATCCGAAAATGTATGTTGATCCGACGCCTTTTCTTGATCCAATATGCATCTCTGGTAACTAATGTTGCTCCGACAGGATCAACATCTACACTCACGGGACTACTTACTAGCGTTCCCCGAAGTTGATCTGATATACAAATCCACCTTGCGATAGTTACGCAAAATGTTGATCCGATTTAAATGAGCCAATCAGAGCACATCAAACGATCGGATTGGCTGAAAAAATCCGCGACGTTGCCGTTTCGTTTCTTTGGCGGTGGCAGCGACGATATTGTCTAAGGTGGACTTGAAAAACAAAAACACTGCTTCACTATATCAAAATAATAATCACAAACAAAACTAAAATACCTATCAAAGAAACATAGAGTAATCAATAACATTGCAACCTGACTTACTTATTAGTCGCTAGTCACTAGAATTAAGGATGCATTTGCAAAATTGATAGTTATAGAATCGAACTATTATATAATTTATTATAATAATTTTATATAATAATTTTACAAGTCCAAGAACATCTAGTTCGACATTTCCTTGGACCTGCAGCATCAACCACAGAAAGTAATCTTCCTCAAAGATCTTCAATCTCCTGTAGCTTTCCAAGATCTTCAATCGTACGAGATAGATGCACTGCTATGTCAAATTGAAAAATGAAGGATTATTGGCTAGAAACGCTAAGCAAGTACACACTGAGTGCAAAAGGTGTGAAAAGGCATTCAGTTTAGAATGTTATAATGAGAAACATGCTTGATTTTATAATATTTTCTTTGAATAAAATCCTCACCTTCAGTATTTGAGTTTTATTTATAGCAAGTTTATTGTAGTTATTAAATGACAACTTTAAAAAAAATTGCGAAGTTTTCTTTTATTATTATAAACAATAGGTTTTTTGCTATACGTCCACGTATGATTTAAAACAATATCACGTCACGTTCATACCAACAAATGTGCCTTAAATTGTATTGAGAAATGAGTCACCTGTGACTCATGAACATATTCTAATACGTTCCTGTGAGTCATATATGACTCATTGGAGAGGGAAGTTGAGTTTCCCCGGGTGTTCATGCAGCGATCACTCAAGAGTTCACGACGCCGACACATGAACTTGAACAGTCATCGCAGTTTATGTCCGTACTAGCTGTTGCCAGCGGCTTCAAACGCATGTAACTCCAAAATTATGCAACAGAAACGAAATACCTGAATAAACGGTATCATATGTGTTATATAAACCTATCTCTGAGCAAAATATCATCCAGATCCCTTCAACCGTTCTGGCATGATTGAGTAACGTACATCCATTCATCCATCCATCCAAACATCCAAACTTTCGCATTTATAATGTTTAGATAATAATTATAATTAATTCAGCCTATCTATAAATTGTTTTCTAAAATACTTACTAACCTGTGTTCTTACTTTTTTTATGTACAAAATCTAACGTAATTAACGCGCATCCTCAGACACCCCAATTAGTATATTATGTTATAATCATAATACATTATTTTTAATTATTATTATATTCTTACTAAAACATGTTTATGCATTGATTATTTATTAAATTAGTTATACTAATTCCGGAAGAATGTTGTGGTCACCGTACAAAACCACGAACGCTAGGTGTAGGTACTTGCTAGTTTTTTTTTGAATTTGCATAACATTTTAATTGTATTTGTAAATAATAATGAACTGCTAAAACTAACATAATTCAAAGACGGCGTGTTTAAAAGATGTGAATCAAGATTACAATAATTTTAAGAATCAAATATTTAACTTACTGATAGCCTAAACTCTCATGCAACGTTGTATTTAAACCACAACGGCTCCGTGGCGCAGTGGCTTAGCAATTGAGTTGCAGCGCTAAGGACCGCGGGCTCGAATCCCGCACGGAACAATATTTGTATGGCCTACAAATAATTGTTCCGGGTCTGGATGTTTGACCTTGTGCAATTTATGTTTGTACACTGCCCCCACAATACAAGAGAAAATCCTAGTGTGGAGGTTACGTTTTAAAAAAGAAAGAAAATAATTTAGAAAGCAATTCAGTGTCATTTTTCACTATTCTAAAATCGTCACAAAAAGGTCCTCGGCACTTGTTGGCTCACTAAAGTAAACTAATGATTTAATACATCCCCATAAAAAAAGTCAAGAGGCGTCAAATCAGCTGATCTGGGAGGTCAGTGGCCTGGCCGCCGCGACCTAAGGCACTCCAAACTCTGTATTTGTAAAGACTTTAACATACTTGAAATAAGGTTCAATTTTCTTTATTTTGTATTGAATGACGGAATTTGTATTAATACAAGTAAAACTCACTTTTAAAAGTCTTATTGCCTTGAGTTACGGTCCATTTCAGTTTGTTTTGACTGTACAGGTTTAGGCGTGACTGTAAATTACGTAGTTTCAATTATTTTTGGGATAAAAAAATTACCTATATTAAAAATGATAGAAACCGATTCAGTAAACGATTCTGAACAAACTACTTTCACAAAGTGCGTTAATTATGTTACGTGTTGTCAGAATGTGTCAAAGAAGGTACGTATGGCAATCCATAGTGCTGTGTTAGTCCCTACTTTAATGTATGGTAGTGAAAGTTGGGTCTGGCAGAAGAAGCATGAGAATAGAATAAATGCTGTAGAAATGCGGTCATTAAGGAGTATGCTAGGGCTGAATCTGAATGACAGGGTGAGAAATAGTATGATAAGAGAAAAGTGTGGTTTGCAAGATGACGTTGTGACCAAGATTAAAGAGGGAATGCTTCGGTGGTTTGGTCATGTAGAAAGAATGAACGAGGAAAGAGTGACAAAGTAAATTTATGTTTCAGCAGTGAACGGCAGAGTCGGGAAGGGACGCCCTAGACGAAGATTTATCAACCAAATCGGCGATACATTGAAAATGGGCCAGATTAGGAGTACCCTTAACCGACGAGCGTGTATGCGTAGCTATATGGATGTAAAGGAGGCGAGAGAGGTGTGTCAGGATCGCGCCAAATGGAAGTCCGTAGTCTCTGCCTACCCCTCTGGGTGACAGGCGTGAGTGTTTGTGTGTGTTTGTGTTGTATACTCAATATCACTAAACGTAAACACAGGTTTTTATCAAGACAAGTGACCCATCAAGATTGTTTTCTTAGTACCGACGTACCTACCTAAAGTTTACATTTTAGTGTCCACGACGCAGCAATGATTTGTGACAGATTGTTGTATTGTAGGTTGTAGGTAAAGTAACAGTAGGTATCTATGATAATCCTACATAATATTAATATACCTAGTTTGTCCGCCGCAAAAGTCGTCGAATAAATAATTAAACTGTTTTGTAAATCTTTATTGATTATTTATTTATTTATAAGATGTTCATTGAGAGCCGTGGTAGTTCAGATGTTTAGCGCTCGCTGTAAGTATCACAGTACGCGATGAACCCGGGTTCGATCCCCGCCGGCACCAATGAAATTGGTGCAATTTATTTATCACATTTTAATTATTTTTATCAATACGTTTAAAAATGAAAAAATAAGTTTTGTAATTAAATTATTATTACTGAATTAATTACACAATTACTGACAGTGTTTCCTTTTACGTCTGCGGTTTGTAATTACCGCCTCTATAGCTCAAAATAAATTATTCCTAATACACAGAAAAATAGTTAGGTACTTATGATACTATGTGGAAAGTTGGTTTTTACAAACTCGTAGACGAATCTAATCCCAATTTACGCATGTGTGTCATACAACGTTTTTCAACACATTTGCGAGAAAACAGTACCTACTATAGGTAACGAAACAAACTTTTTGTTCTTAGATATCAGTTGGAAAGTCTGTTTTTCTGGGCTGTTTTGCTTTGTTAAACTGACATCTCGCAGGTCAACCTAGGAGGTTGTCGGTTGCTTATTTTTTATTTTTATTTAAAATTTCGTCTGTAATATAATATAATTATAAAAGTAAAAGAAAGTAAAGTCTATATACGTCCCACTGCTGGGCACAGGCCTCCTCTAATTTCTGAGAGGGTTTTAAGGCAAGGAAATGTCCGCCGTGCTGCCCCAATGCGTGTTGGTGAACTTTATGCCGGGTTTCCACGCTTGCCAAGTCTCGGCAAGCATCCACAAGCACAAGTGTGTAAAGAGGGCGTTTGGCTTGGCTCGCGTGAGCTTGTGGACGCTTGTCACCGATCCGGGCTAGTGTCGGTTTTTGGACACAGATCAAAGGGCGCTTGCGGCAAGCGCTTGCAACGCATTCACACGTTGGTGCGCGTTTAGTAGAAATTGTGATTTCGCGACTAGCGCATGTTTAGTTCTTTGTTTAAAATGAGTGACTGGTCGAACGTAGAGAGTTTATCGTTTCTGGAATATTACCAGACTAATCATAAAAATAAAAAGAAAGTTGCAAATGCTTGGAGTCGTCTTGCCGAGTTA